CCGCAGGCCCATCACGCGAGCGATGCTCTGCGTCGCCTCGTCGTAGAGGGCGCCGGGCTGCCTCTCCGCCAACAACCTCGCGCTGCCGCCACGGGGGGGGCGTCGCGAAAAAGCGTCTCGCCGTCGCCATCACTGCGGCTACCTGAGTCGCTGCGCTGCCGCCGTCTGCCCCGACCGACGACGCCGCGGGCGCCAGCCCCTTCTCCTGCGAGGGCGCGAGCCGCCAAGCGGTCAGGCGCGGCGCCGCCAGGGATCGGCCCCAAGGCCCGTCGAGGCCCGCCGCCGCCGCGCCCTCCGAAGGCGCTCGGACGCACCCGAGGCTCCGCCAGTCCCCGCGCAGTCCGAAGCTGCAGCCACTCGACGCGCAGGACGGCGCGCCCAGCCTGCACGGCCTCAACTCTGATCATGCCGCAGCGCGCGGGGCCCTGCGCGCAGAGGCGCAGCAAGCCAGCAGGGCCAGCTCCACGAGTAGAGAAGGCGCCGTCGAGGCGCACCGCCTTGGCTGGCAGCGACGCTCCCCGGAACTGGGCGCTCAGGTACTGGCCCTCGACCCCAGGCGTACCGATCTCGTCCACCTCGAACAGGGCGGCGCCGCTGATGGCGCCCATGGCACGACAGCTCCACGTTCATCCCCTGGGCCCAGCCAGCACCCACCAGCCCTGAGGCCTGCGTCCAGGCGCCGTCTGCCAGGGGGTCCAGCTGCACTCCTTAGCCATTTTGGCTCAAGTCAGCTCCCGCGCTTTGGTTCAAGGGCCCGCTTCTGGCGAAAGCCTATCGGCGGCCCTTCGCTCCAGCGCGCGGCGGATGGCGCGGGGTGCTGCCCTCGATGGCGGCAAGGCTTCCTCCTCAGCTGCTCGCCGGTCTGCCCAGAAGGCCGCCGCTGCTTCTGCTGAGCGTGCGGTCCATCACTGAGGGATGGAAAATGAAGTACTACGACCTGGCCTACTCCCTGGGTTCGGACAGGTGCCCCCAGCTGGGCCCTCGGCTGGCGGCCGCGGCGCCTGCGCTGGAGGCACTGCTCTTGGACGAGCCCGTGGAGCACACTGATGTCCTTCGTCGGAACGTTGCCCTGCACTCGGTTGCCGAGGGGATCGACATCGTCACCGCCTCGCCTGCCGAGCTCAACTCTGCGCAACGTGGGCCTCGCTTGGGAGCCAAGCCCCCATGTGTTGTGGCGGCTTCCTTTTCTGCACTTCGGGCTTGCGCGGCGCCCTTTGTGCCTGGAGTTGCCGCTCATCATGGGTTTCTTGATGGAGTCAATTTTTGTCGTGGTGATTCTAAAGATGTAGTCGTTCCTATTCCTTGTGGTAAAGATGGCCTTGGTGACAATGCCACCGTGGTGGAGGTCTCGAAGGACATGGATGTTGAGCACATCTCCGTGGTCGAGGAGCAGCTGCGCTCTTGGGAAGGTTTGGGTGCCGCGTCCCGCTCCTGTGTACGCAGGCGGCGGCGCCTTGACGGCGGCATGCGGTCGACATTAGCTCCGATTTGGGAATCTCCCAACACCGCCAGGGGAGGGTACGACTATTCAGGTGAAGAGGTCATCGTCGGAGGCCCCGTTCCTGGGCTGTGGGTTCCGCGAGACCTGCCGCCCGACCATGGAGAGGGCCGCCTTTTTCTCCTGAGTTGTGAGCTTGTGGGTATTATGCTTTTCCAGCTGCAGGATCCCTGCAGTTGGCCTTGCATCCCTGCCTAACTCTGGCAGGGATCTTTCTGCAGGCTGTCGCCGCCCCAGTCATTGCAGGATAACACGTTGGGGTTGAACAAAAAAAAAAAGCATCAGCTGGGATGGCGACGCCTCCAACCGCTCCGAGGGGCGCGCCAGCCCAGAGCGCCGCGGCAGCAGGCGGGGCCCCCACGCCGCCAGCAGCACCGCCGCCAGGCGCGGCGAGCGCGCCCACCAGCGCGGCCCCGACCGCCGAGGCCGCCAGGGAGCCCGGGGAGGGCGCCGAACCCTGGCACCACGGGGGCACCTGCCGCGCCAGCCGGCGGGGGGCCCGCGGTTCCGCCAAGTGCGTGGAGCCCGCCTGGCGCAGGAGCACCGCCTCCACCAGCAACCCCCGGCCCAGCGCCTCCTCGCACACACACGTCGGTGATCGCCCGGAGCGCCTCCTCCGCGGCCACGACCGCCTCCGCCAGGGGCTGCTTTGGCCTTGCCTTTCGCCTTAGCCTTGCCCTTCGCCTTGGGAGGCATCTGGCTCGAGCCTCGCGAGCGCTCCGAGCTGGGCTCCGAGGTGGCGAGCCTGCTCCAGCAGCAGCGCCCGCTCGCACGGCGCCAGCCGCGCCTCCCGCGCCGCCTGCCTTGCGAGCCCGAGCAGCAGAGCTCGCATACCTCCGGCAGCCCTCCAGCCTCCGCCAAGGCGAGGCTCCCCGGGTGCGAGCCGCCCCTCGCACCAGCCGTAGATCCGAGGCCGCTGGGCCTGCAGTGCGGTGGGGGCGTGAACACGCGAGCCCCCAGGAAGCATGCCCTCCTCGAAGGCCCCTCGAAGCCAGAGCAACTGCCGTGCGGTCGAATGCGGCCAACAAGCACTTGCCCCCTTAGCCCACACATCAACCGTAAACGCACTATCTATATATATATATGTATCGAGCTGGGCGAGCGACGACGTCAGCGGCGCCTGAACGGAAAAACAGACGCAGCCCAGGAAATGACGAGAAATGTCCACCACGGATCAATTGTTATCCGAGAGAAACCCGGGCTCCACAAGCTTCCAATCTTCGAGCTGCTCCGCCGAGACGCCGGATCGTCTCAGCAAGTCCTCGCGGGACCACCTCGGAACCCAGACAGGCTGAACGGGTAGGCGAGGGGACCGAGCCAGCGCTCCACTAAGCCCGCGAGGGGCCGCAAGGGACCGCAAGTCCGCGGCAGTGGGCTCGGAAAGCGGCCCGAGACGCCACCCCCGATATGAGCCACCCCCGGACGGGAAATCACCCTCCTTCTCCTCCTCCGCTCCCCCTCCTCCTCCCTCACTCAAGCAACCCAGGCCCAGGCTTCCCTTGCCCCAGGCCGGCTCCAGGACCTCCGCGCGGTGCTTGGGGGATCTCGTCGCAGCTGTCGCATGTTCTTTGACGTTAACAAACACTGGAGTTTCAAACGGTGCTACGGGATGGGCGCCGGAGAGTGGCGCCCAAGGCTCACCCCGAAGGAGCGCAAAGCCCGGCGGGCATGGGCACAGTGGTCGGCTGAGCGAGCCATCCACCGCCTAACCCGTGAGGTGGAGCAGCTCAGCAAGATGCAGTATATGGACCCCAACGTCGTCAGCTACAGCGTTGGGAGCAGCGAGTGGGAGCAAGATGGACAGTGGGAGCCTCAGCAGGACACGGCAAGAACGTGGGGGTCAGAATGGCAGTGGCAGCAGCGAGCAGAGCCGGAGGCGAAGCACGAGGCCGATGCCATCAGCTACAACGAAGGGACTGTGTCGCACGACGCGAAGGTCGTGCCCGACGTCCACAGCCACAGAACCGTGGACGACACATGCGAGAAGTCTGGAATGGCGGCAGCGGCAGTGACGAAGCACGAGCCCGATGCCATCAGCTACAACGACGAGGCTGTGTTAGCTGACGCAAAGGTCGACTCCGACGTCATCAGCTACAGACCCGCAGACGACACATGCGTGAAGTCTGGGATGGCGGCAGTGGCGGAAACGAAGCACGAGCCTAATGCCATCAGCTACAACGACGGGTTTGCGTCGCGTGACGCCAAGGTCGAGCCCGACGTCGTTAGCTACAGACCCGATGACGGTGCATGCGAGAAGTCTTGGATGGTGGCAGTGGCCGAGACGAAGCAGCAGCCCAATGCCATCAGCTACAGCGACGGTGCATGCGAGAAGACTTGGATGGCGGCAGTGGCGGTGACGAAGCACGAGCCCAATGCCATCAGCTACAGCGACAAGGCTGTGTCGCATGACGGGAAGGTCAAGCCCGACGTCATCAGCTACAGACCCGAGTACGGTGCATGCGAGAAGTCTTGGATGGCGGCAGTGGCGGAGACGAAGCACCAACCCAATGCCATCAGCTACAACGACGGAGCATGCGAGAAGGCTTGGACGGGGGCAGTGGCGGAGCCGAAGTACGAGTCCAATGCCATCAGCTACAACGACGAGGCTGTGTCGCGTGACGGGAAGGTCGTGCCCGACGCCATTAGCTAAAGACCCGAGGACGGTGCATGCGAGAAGTCTTGGATGGCGGCAGTGGCAGTGACGAAGCACGAGCCCAATGCCATCAGCTACAACGACAAGGCTGTGTCGCATGACGGGAAGGTCAAGCCCGACGTCATCAGCTACAGACCCGAGTATGGTGCATGCGAGAAGTCTTGGATGGCGGCAGTGGCGGAGACGAAGCACGAGCCCAATGCCATCAGCTTCAACGACGAGGATCGGACGCGCGGTGCGAAGGTCGAGCCCGACGTCGTCAGCTACAGAAGTGGAAAAATGACCGAGTCAGACGTGGAAGCGTTGCTCCGCGAGCGAGCTGCAGAACAGAAGGAGTTTGAAGATAAATGCATCACACGAGCCATGAGATGGAAATCCCAGCCTTTCGTGCGACGTGTTGCACACCTTGCGGCCGCATCACAAGGCAGTAATGGGAGATGGATTCACACACAGGTTGGAGTCGGTCCTACTCAACGTTACGAATGGAAATGGGAGTCTACAAAGGGCAACACACCGACGAAGCAGGACGGCGGCAGTGAGGTGAGAGATCTTCTCTCAGCTCTCGGTGCAGCCATTTCCTCAGCGTCGACGCGTTGAACCACCCCCTGCTGTCGAAGGCCTTCTGAGTGGAAGGTGGCACCGCGCCGTGCGGTCCCGAGCAGAGTACATCGCTACGCGATCAGGCAGAGACTCCAGAGACCCCTCCTCCTCCCTCATTCTCCCCCCTCCTCCTCCTCCTCCTCCTCCTCCTCCTCCTCCTCCTCCTCCTCCTGCTCCTTCTCCCCCTCCTCCGCCCCTGGTCTTCCGGGACGAAGAGAGCGAGATGGGAGGAGGAAGAGAAGGGGCCGCCTCGCCGGACCGCGGCAGCCCGGACGCCCGCGGGACGAGGTGCTGGAAGCGGAAGCCCTCCTCGACCTGGCGACCGCGGGGCACCTCCGTTCCCCTCCTCGAGTCTTTGCCCCACCTCTGTCAGCGGACAGCTTCCCGTATAAGATCACACACACACACACTCATGTATGTATGTGTATATATACAATACATGTGTATACACATATATGTCGATATGTAGAGAGAGAGAGAGAGAAAAAAAAAAAAAGAGTTTCCGCCATCGGGGACGCCTGTGCCGAGGCGGCTGGAAAGTTTGGTATCGGCGGCACGGCGCCCCCCGCCAAGTCGGTCGCACGGCAGCCGTGGCTCCCACGGGGGCTCGGGGCCCCCCGTGGCGAGCTCGGGGCAGGCCAGGCGCGAGCGGGCACGCGGCCAGCAGCAGCAAGCCTGTGTTGGTAGGCGTCAGCCGAAACAAGGCGTCGCTCTGATTATCGAGCGTCCATACGAAGAGGCACCAGTGAATTCGGCGCGGGCATCCCCTTGCGCCTTGGGCGCATGGCGGCCGAGCATGACGTCAGTCGTCGCTGCACGCGAGACACGACTGCGAGGTGAAGTCGGGGGGCAGCGCCTCGCACATGGCGACGAGCAAGCGTCAGTCGTCGCATCACGCGAGGCAGGACGGGCCAAACCACTTCTTGGCGGCCCACCTCGTGCGGGTAGGGCACCATACCAACGCAGGTGTTGGTGCAGCTCGAGTTGCCGACGTCAGCGTCACTGCTCCAGTCGTCGCACCTGTCGCAGAAGCCCATGCGGGTCGAGGACCAGTACCCGTCGGGGAACACGCAGTCCCCGTCGTCGCTGCAGGTGGACACCGGGCCTGGGCATCGGCGCTCGTGCCACCCAGGGGACAGGGCGTCCGCGCGAGAGAGGGCACGGCCTGCCTGCTAGAATAAAGGGCGCCCCGCTCATCGCCGACCAGGGGGGCCCCTCGGCACCGGGAGTAGAGGGCAGAAAATCTACCCCGATGAGAACCACCCCGACACGCGAAGCCGTTTGGTAAATGCACCCAGAGAAGGAGTCGAACAGGGCAGGGCTGTTTAGCAAACGCCAAGGCCGTTTGGTGAACGCCACTTGTCGGGTCCTGCTGGTTTGTCCTCCCCTGGAGGAGGGGCTGGAGGTATGCACCGAGGCGTCTGGTCGGCCAGTCGAGCGCGGTATGCAGCGACGGTCCTCCAAGGGGGGTGAGGACCACAGCGCCCCCAAACTGTGGCTGGTCGTGGCAGGGCCCCCAGGGGGGCCAGCAGCGGTGAGACACCTCGGGAAGGCCGCTCCCTCGGGACGTCGCTTCTCCACGGCGACAGGCCGGAGGAGGCGTCTGGGGAGCGACGCCGCAGGCGCGGGAGCGGGCCGCGACCCCGCCGCGCCTGACTACCTACCAGGCCACCCCAACCCAACCCGAAGACCCGAATTTCGGGTTCGGGGGGGGGGTACGGGCTGCAGATTTGTTTTCTCAACGTTCCCCGCCCCCCCCCCCAACTGGAAATGGAAGGCACCTTCGGGTTGGGTTGGGGTGGTTTGGTGGGCGGTGACCTCCCCCTCACCCCCCCCCTCACTCAGCGCCGCTCTCCGCCGCAGGGCAGTATTCGCGCTGGAAAAAAGTGAGCGTGCCCCCCGCGGCAGTCCAGAGCGCCGCCCTCCTTCTTCACGCGCCCTCCGTGCGCCGCTCCTCGTCGTCGTCGTCCTCCTCCTCCTCCTCCTCCTCCTCCTCCTCCTCCTCCTCATCCTACTTTTCCCCGAGCATTTTGAAAATTGGCGGCGCGCACAGGGGGCTTCTTAGAAGGAGGCTGTTTCTTAGAAGGCGCCTGCCTTACATCTACAGATAAGGCCCGCGCCTTCTAAGAAGCAGGGGCTCTTTAAGAAGCCCTCCCCCCTCCCCCCACCCCCCCTGCGCGTGGCTGAGAAATGAACGATGATTGTTCATACGATTGGGCGACCATATGGGCCAAGCACCGGTGCAGTAGGCTGGACTTGCCACTTGGCGCTAACAATTGGCCTTGAGCTGCCGCCCATCACTCATCAGGAGGTGCGGTCGGCTGTGCGCAAATGTTCGGCCACCCCAGCTGTGGGTACAGGCCGGCTTGCATCTTGCAGCCTGTGGCATCTCACTGACGCATCGCTCCAGACTGTAGCCCTTCTTTCTTTGCGGTGCGAGATGCTAGGGTGCTGGCCGCAGAGTCGCGTGGCCACCGAGCTGGTCGGATTGCCGAAGCCAGACCAGCCTAGCGAGCATCGCCCCATAGCCCAGATGTATTATCTGGTTAGGGTGTGGGGGAGGGTTCGGGGGCCTGTGCGGGCGGAGTGGGAGGGCAGGAACCGCAGCGAGCTCGAGCGTGTCAGCTTAACCTCAAATCATTTAAGTGTGCCCGCAACTTAGGCCATGACACATTTGCTGGAGGTGTTGCGCACAGAAGCACTGGGCTCAGGTCGGGTACGTCCCCCTACAGGCGAATTTTAGACGAGAAATAAAAGATACACCCAAAAATGCACAACAACATTCAAACTTTGTCAAACAAATCGTCTCCAGATTATTCCCCATATCCTAAGATGGGGTTCTTGTTATTACTTGGACGCCTCCTACTCCTCCTCCTTCCTCCTCCTCTTTTCTCCTCCCCTCCTGTCGGACATATTCAGACTTGCTCATACACAGACTTACTCATACTCAGACTTACTCATACTCAGACCTACTCATACTCAGACTTACTCACACTCAGACATACTCATATACAGACTTACTCATACACAGACTTACTCATACACAGTATTAGTCATACCCAGACGTACACATACACAGACTTACTCATACACAGACTTACTCATACTCAGCACCCCTAAGGGGAGCCGCCAGGGGTGGTTGCACGGGCTCGTTCGCGGCCATTTTGTGGGGATGTCTCAGGCGGTTTGCCTGTTTCTGTGCCCAACATCCTTCGCTTTCGGAGCAGATTTGGAGGATGTCTCGAGCGAGGCGCTCATTTCAGCACCCCTAAGGGGAGCCGCCAGGGGTGGTTGCACGGGCTCGTTCGCGGCCATTTTGTGGGGATGTCTCAGGCGGTTTGCCTGTTTCTGTGCCCAACATCCTTCGCTTTCGGAGCAGATTTGGAGGATGTCTCGAGCGAGGCGCTCATTTCAGCACCCCTAAGGGGAGCCGCCAGGGGTGGTTGCACGGGCTCGTTCGCGGCCATTTTGTGGGGATGTCTCAGGCGGTTTGCCTGTTTCTGTGCCCAACATCCTTCGCTTTCGGAGCAGATTTGGAGGATGTCTCGAGCGAGGCGCTCATTTTCACCCCCCAGGTGGGCCAGATTTTGAGGATGTCTCGATCGGTTTGCTAGTTTTGGTGGCCAGGCTCGTGGGCGCAGATTCTTCTCAGGATGCCACAGGAGGCTCCAACAGGCTCCAGGAGGCTCCAGGAGACCACATGAGGTCCCAGGAGGCATCAGGAGGCCACAGAAAGACTCAAGAGGCCACAGGATGTCCCAAGAGGCTCCAGGAGGCCCCAGGAAGCTCCAGAAGGCCTCAGGAAACCACAGGAGACCCCAGGAGACAACAGGAAGCGCCAGGAGGCCTCGGAAGGCAACAGGAGGCCCCGAGAGGCCCCAGGAGCAGGAGGCCTCAGAAGGCAACAGGAGTGGCTCCAATCCCATGTGTTTTACGTATGCTCCTATCGATTGGGCCTCACCTGGAGCACGATTCTTTGATGTTCTACGTATGTTTCTATAGATGGTCCTTCTCCTGTGTACACAATCCTAAATGTTTTACTCATGTTCCTATGTTTTGGGCCTCTCCTGGGGCACGAGTCCTTGGTGTTTTACGCGTGTTCCTATATGTTGCCTTCTCCTGTGGCTCTAATCCGCAATGTTTTATGTACGTCTGTTGCTATAGATTGCGCCTCCCCTGGGGCACGAAACCTTCCTAGGAGGTCCCAGGAGGTCCCAAGAGGCTCCTGGAGACCCCAGGAAGCCCCAGTAGGTTTCAGGAGGCCCCAGGAGGCCCCAGGCTCATGCACAGAGACGCGCTCGTACTACTGAGGCTCATTCACACTCCAATTCATTCGCAGTTAGATTGATGTCCAGACCGTCACAACTGAAGCCCGTTAATATTCGAAAGCTCATGCGCCTAGACATTCACGGCGGACAGGTCCATGCGAGTAGATGCACATATGGGGAGCTCCACGCAGTGAATAATTGTTTGACTATTTTTGAAGATTCCTCCTGTAGAAGGACAGGCCTGACTTGACATTGGGCGCAAACGTCTTGGGGCGGTCCTGGGTAGACGAGGAAGGCTCAGGGCACTCGAGGGCCAGCGGCTTGAAGTTCGTCCTCTGTGTCGCGCACTGGTGTTTTACCGTCCGCGGGCCATGGGGCGGGTGTTGTAGGTCTTACAGGTGCGACTCGAATCAAGGGCTCCCAACTTCGCGCTTCGTGCTGCGCGAAGCGCGAAGTGCGAATAACTTCGCGCTCTCGCGGCGCCCCCCAGGGGAGAAGAGGAGGAATAGAAACCGAATCACGAAGCGCGAAGCGCCAATAACTTCGCGCCCTCGAGGGCGCCCTTGCTAATGCAGCTGAGGCCTTCTGCTGGTGAGCTGGCGGGGGCCAGAAAAGGCGTAGCCTCCCTCACTGTTTACACGTGCACCCAACAAGACAGGATGCATGACTCAGTTTGTGATGTCACTCGTCTGACCGTAGCCAGATATGCCAGCTGTGTTTGGGTCAGTCGCACCTCTCCCAGTATGCTCAGAACGGCGTGGAGTGCCATCATGGCTAAGCTGGGCGCCCAGGGCTTCGGAGGCAATGCTTTGGCCCGATCTCGGCTGTTATCCTGTCTCTGCGTAGGATTGGGTGGAATATGGTGTCGCCTCTCATGCTCAGTACCGATACTACTGAACACATATCTTTGTATGAATACTCTCCTTGCGAATTCAGGGGTCTAGTCAAAGGTGGAGTGGGGCGTTTGCTGTGGCATAGGATCCCTTTTCATTGGCCTGAGGCTTTCGACAGCGAGTACTGTTGGGCTCGAGTGGTGCGACTGGCTAT